AGTTTAGGGTTCAGGGCCCCCCAGACATCCCATAAACCCTCCACCCAAAACAAAGGTGCCAGGAACCGACGATGGGCGGAGGCCGTGGGAACGCTGGCGACGTTGCGCGCATGGGCCGGGAGGCGGGAGTTGGGCAAGAGCTCCGTGTTTGTGGGTTCGATGTTTGGGCTGGTTAAGGGTTCAAGTGTTTGGAAAGCTTCTTACAGACCAAAAGAACCCTAGAATTTTGAGTGTTGCTGGGATTAAAGATGTGAGCGGTGTTGCACAGCTGCGTTTTGCAGGGTTGGCGGGTTTAAGGGTTGGGCTTGGAGGCCGAATGTAATCGTAGCAAAGCCTACATAGACGCTAGACGCTAGCTGCTGAGAAGGACATGCAGTGGATTCTTCAGGTCAAATTCCTATGAGGGGTAGGGTCTGCGCATGTCGGTTGGCGCCGCCGGCAGGTTCACGTTGACAGTGGGACGGAGGGATTTGCACTAAACCCATCTAAACCTTAAACTCTATAAACTGACTCTGGTTCTGGCTTGGCGGAGCCATGGTGCTGGGCAGGAAAACCCTCAGAAACACATCCCTACATGGTCACTTCTCTAGAAGCTGGTTCCCCGCTATGATGACAGGCTCGACGTTGTCGCCTTCAGTGCCGCCTGCGTCTCGATCGGCTGGGTGTGCGGGTTTTGGGGTCTCGGCTTTAGTGGTTTGTCTTCGGGGGGTGGCTGAACAGGATTGGAGCCTCAGGAGGTCTGGCAAATAAGCCACACCTTACAGGTTGCCCTTGCAGTTGCAGTTGCCACAGTAGGCTACTGTAGTTCCATTTTCGCGAGCCCCCTAACTTGTGTATTTCCTGTTCAAAACCTTTTGCGAGTAGAGGAGTGCTCTAGCCCATCCAGGTAAACAAAACAAATCACCAACGCCTTGCAATCGTGTGCTTCAGCTCGGTGGGTTTGGGGTTTAGGGTTGAGGGTTTAGGGTTTGAGGGTTTGAGGGTTTGAGGGTTTGAGGGTTTGAGGGTTTGAGGGTTTGAGGGTTTATAGGGTTTAGGGTGGGCCCTTCAACCGCCCGCAAGGCCGTAAGTGCTTGCGAGCGGGCCCTGGCCTGAGGAGCATGTGTACTGTTGGCCGTGCGCAAAGTTCCCTACCACACCCTAAACCCCGAACCCTGAACTCTAAACGCTAAACCCTAAACCCTAAACCCTAAACCATAAACCCTAGCCCTAAACCCTAAACCCTAAACTTCAAGTCTTCCTAGGTAGGGTCTGCAAGCTTAGGGTCTCAGATCCATGGTCCGACGTGCCGAGACAGTTGGAAAAAACCCTCGATATCCGGGTACCCGAGGGTTTGGGGGTTTAGGGTTTAGGGTTTAGGGTTTAGGGTCTAGGGTTTACGTAGGGTTTAGGGTTCAGAGTACCCTAAAAGCATGGGCACAGTGGGCCTTAGAATCCCCATAATCAACCCGATAAGGGCCGTTTTCAGGGGTTATTCGGTATAATTGCCTTAAAAACCCCAGACTCAACCCGATAAAAGGGGCAAATTACGGGGGGTATAGGGGATAAGAGTCCATCCTGGTACACAGAAGCTGCAAAAGTCTCAGTCTCTAAGCCCTCAGTGGTTAGCGGCTCACCAAATAGCCCAAAGCGACCCCGACGAAGGTATTGTAGACTTTGTGAGGGTCCGGGATTTGGCAAGCCATCCCTGACCGGAAGCAGGGTCTAGGATTTAGGGCTTAGGGTTTTAAGGGTTTAGGGTTTAGGTTTTAGGGTTTAGGGTTTAGGGTTTAGGGTTTAGAAGGGTTTAGGGACACCCTCCTCGGGCGCCGTTGGCGGTGAGGCACAGCCACCACAATGGCCTCGGGCAATGCTCCTCCTGCGGGAGACGCCCGAGGAGTGGACTCCGCTTGGTTTGGGTCTTAGGGTTTACCCGAAACCCCAAACCAACCCTAAACCCTAAACCCCGGTATATCTTGCAGTTGGCGGGCTTATACGGCTTCAGTTAGGGGAATTGAGGGGGTACAAGGGCTTTATGTGAGCCCCGGATGTTTGTCGCATCGCAAGCCTTTGAGCGTGGAATCTCCTTGGGTTTCGGGTTCTAGGGTTCAGGGCCTATGTTTTAGTCTTAGCGTCCCCCCTCCTCTCTTCTAGCAGGAAGAAATTTTGTCAGGTGCGAAAAGTGAAAACCCTAAACCCTCAACCCTAAACCCTAAACCCTGTAGCTGGCTCAGACATGAGGTCTTTGCATGCAAAGATCCTTCAGAAGCCCTCATGCTACCCTGGGGATCTCATCCTCTGCGCCACAACCTTAAACCCTCAACCCTAATCCCCCCCCCCCCCCCCCCCCAAAAAAAAAAAAAAAAAAGAACACAGCAGAAACTCAACTCCGTGAACCTTGAGGGTGATCCCCACATCCACCATATCTCCCAGAGGATCCCAACGAGTTCACCTTCAGTGCCGCCGCGAGCGCTTGCGAGAAGGCCGCGGCTGATGGGGTGCCCTCGGGGGGGGCGGAAGAGGAGTGCCAAGGGAAGGCCGCTCCCGAAGCCTAGGGCTTAGAGGGCTTTTGGGGTTTAGGGTTTAGAGGGTTTAGAGGGTTCTATAGAGGGTTTTAGAGGGTATAGGATTTAGAGGGTTTAGAGGGTTTAGAGGGTTTAGAGGGTTTAGAGGGTTTAGAGGGCTTTTGGGGTTTTTGGGGTTCCGAAAACCACCTCTTCCCAAAGTCATGATTCTCTTGATGACCGGAACCTTTCCACCCTAAACCCTAGACCCTAAACCCTAACATCCCTATAAGGCCTCTTGCTTTCGCGCAAAGAGGCCTGCCGTTGGGAGGGCAGCCTGGAGCTACTCTTCGAGCTGCGGCCGATGCCTCAGTAGGGGCCCCCCGCTGGTGGGGTGGGGACGCGCGCTACGTATGGTGAGTTCTCTGAGATGTGGTGCCTTTTGGGGTCCGCATCATAAGGCGGCCCCTCTTATTCAGGGTACCCACATTTAGGGAACTCATCATGTCATATATAGTAATAACCTACAAGCAACAACAGTAGGTTTAGACTTTTAAGGTAGAAGAGACGCAAATGTCGGAGTTACCCCTAAACCCCAAACCCTAAACCCTAAACCCCAAACCCTAAACCCCAAACCCTAAACCCTAAACCCCAAACCCTAAACCCCAAACCCTAAACCCTAAACCCCAAACCCCAACAGAGCACCAAGCTTCAGCTGAAGGCTTGGACGGTTTGTAGGGCTTTGTTTCGCACCTCAGGCCGGAGCCGCAGCAGTCCTACGCAAGGGTTCGGAGTTCAGGGTTTATGGGGTTTAGGGCAGTTTAGGGTTTAGAGTTCAGGTTTTAAGGTTTAGGGTTCAGGGTTTAGGGAGAGAGGGTTTGTAGGGTTTAGGGCTTAGGGTTTATAGAGTTCGCTGCGAGTGCATGGGATTGCTTGAGGTAGTCCCGGTTGTGTGGCTAGCTGAAACTGAGTGAATAAGGATGGGCTTGCTCAATAGGAGTGAGTTCTGTTTGTGTCCGGCCCTCAGATACAGCTTTGCGGTTTGGGCTTCGCTGGCAGTCATCAAGTCCGGTTTCAAAAGGGTTTATACCTTGGGGACGAAATGAGCCTTAAAAGGGTTTAGGGTTCATATTACCTCAATAGGAATTATAGTAGTATAGGGTAAAGGACACCAATTTTACGGTTCATGTCGTCCCCAAGGTAGAGTTCAGGGTTCCGATCAACACGTTGTGTTCCCAGCCCAAGCCCAGGCGCACGCCGCGGAAGCGAGGTGCGATCTCGGGCCAAGGCCGACTCAACGCCAATGATTGTAGGGGCAGTACCTGGGATTCTAGTTACCTACAGTTTAGTAGGAAGGGTTTAGGGTTTAGGGTTTAGGGTTTAGGGTTTAGGGTATTCCTGGGACGCTAGTTTCCTACAATTTAGTAGTAACGACTACCCTTACTTAGTAGGTATAACCCATAAACGGTAGGTAAGGAGGGTCCCAGGTAAGGTTTAGGGTTTAGGGTTTAGGGTTAGGAAGCGAGACCCTAAACCCTAAGCCCTAAACCCTAACCCCTAAACCCTAACACCCTAACACCCTAAACCCTAAGCCCCAAGCCTCAAGCCCTAAGCCCTAAACCCTAACCAGGACCTCAGCCCATCCTTCGGCCCACGGCGGTGAGCCACGCAGCCACGCTCAGCGCCTGTGCCGGCGGTCTGCGGTCTCAGCTTCGGGTGTGTGGAGGTGTTCCTCTTTCCTGTAGGGTTTGGGTTTGGGCTTTAGGGTTTAGGGGTTAGAGGTTAGAGGTCAGGGTTCAGGGTTTAGGTTTTCGGCAGGTTTAGGGTTAGGTTTGAGAAGAAGACAAGGGGGTTAGCGTTTTGAGGTTTATGGCGTAGGTTTTGTAAAGCATTTGTACGGGTTCAAGGGTTCCTGCTTTGCTGGTACTGTATTCCGTGTGGGGTCTCAGAGAGCCACATGGTGGGTGCGGGTGCTGCGCCACGGAAGGTTTGCTGCCTGCCAGGGCTAGGATCGTTCGGTATCAACGCACAGCAAGGGGTTTAGCTTGGGATGTTCCCCCTTGTACTAACAGTCCTTAATAGTTTATAATAGGGGGGGTACTATAGTCCCCCCTAAACCCTAAACCCTAAACCCTAAACCCTAAACCCTAAACCCTAAACCCTAAACCCTAAACCCTAAACCCTAAACCCTATCAAGGGCTGTAAGTATAAGGGGGGAACCCCAGGGTGGAGGGCTTCACCAGCGCCTCTGCAGCTCACAGGTGGCCCAATGAACCCCCCAAAAGTGGGGGTCATGTACCGTATACCACTTACCAGAATCCGCAATTCGGGTAATATGAAACCAAAAACCTCGGACCTGGAGTAGGCCCTTATTTCCCTTCTTAGGGGTTGGGGTCTTAACACCAACCCTTGGATTCCTAGGTTACTCCTGGGTCTAGAAACCCTCTTAGGGTTCCCATGTGGTCCCCCAGAAGAAGCGAAGTGCATGGATGCTTAGGCCGAAAGTGGGCGTGGGTCATGTGGCTCTTCCAGAGGATCCAGTACCAGAGAGGCAAGCTGTGGGAGTCAGGTTTTTGGAGTACCAGACTTTAAATACTTGTTGTTGGTTCTGGGTTCCTCTTTTATAGCTCTAAACCCTAAACCCTAAACCCTAAAAAGCATGTACTTTTGTCATGTTTGTTTGTTTTCCAGGGTCTGCTTTAAAGTCGTGGGAGTGTTTTTGCGGCTTCCCATAGGGGCACTCTTCGGGCCCGGGCACAGAGAGCTCACGAAGTTCAAGCAGGTGGCTTCTTTCTACCCGACAGCCCATATACAGGCTCGCCCTGACAAAAAAGGAACCACCCTCAACCCTGAACCCCGAACCCTGAATCGTGAACCCTGAAACCCTAAACCCTAAACCCTAAACCCTAAACCCTAAACCCTAAACCCTAAACCCTAAACCCTAAACCCTAAACCCTAAACCCTAAACCCTAAACCCTAACCCGCCCCCTTTGCTGGGAGACTTGGATGTGGTCCTCTTTGGCGCAGTGATCACGGCCTGCGCTGCCTCGGGGGGGAGGCCTTGGGGGGCACTCAAGAAACCTTGCGGTGCCTTGGTTTAGGGTTTAGGGTTTAGGGTTTAGGGTTTAGGGTTTAGGGTTTAGGGTTTAGGGTTTAGGGTTTTGGGCTCAGGGTTCAGGGTTCAGAGTTTAGGGTTTAGGGTTTTTGGCTTAGTCTTGAATCTGAAGAAGAACGTAACCTACACAAGGTCGGTCGCACCTTGCCAGACACCACCAAAGAGTCAGATACAGCGAACACAACTTTACTCGGCCAGCCAGCACCATCCAAGCGCCCTCTTTTGGCGAAAGATGCTGGCAGATGCGGAGGCTTTTTCTTTGTTTCGGTACGAGGGTTGGTGCTTAGCCTCAGCAATGCTCGGTAGGCCTTGCGATGGATGTCTCCCCGGTCTTGGGGGGGTTTGAGAGGATCGTTACATCGGAATATGGGGGTTTCCGAAAACAGGGGTACCCTTTTGGAGGTTCCTTTTGAAAGGATTATATAGTTTTTTGGGGTATCTAAAGCCTACCCCCCCCCCCCCCCCCATGTTCGGAAACATCCATATTGTTCAGAGACGTCTCTAAGGGCCTACCTGGGAATCTTTGGAATTCTTCATCCGACCATCCCCCGGCTCGCTTGTAGGCTGCAGTCTTCTGACAATTAGGGGGGGGTTTAGGGTTTAGGGTTTAGGGTTAGGGTTTCGGGTTTAGGGCTTCTGACAAGTGGGTTGTAGGTTGATGAGGGTTTAGGGCTTATCGGAAATGTATAGGGTTTGGGGTCCCAAGGTTTTGAACGGAAGTTTTGACCGAAGCTGTTTGACTGAATCATTTTGACCGAAACGTCTTGATCGACACGTGTTGCTTTAGAATCACACGTTTTCCTTCTTTTGGGGGAGGGGAGGGGAGGGGAGGGGGGGACCACTGGGGGTGGCCCTAGCTGCCTTTTTGGGGCCTCTTCCTCCTGGTGTGTTGCGGGCCTCGGGATTTACTGGCATTCGTTTGTGGAAGGAGCTGGTGTTGGACGCGATCTTTCTGCAGCGCCGACATGGATCGATACATAGACATAGCTGAAGCAATTTGCAAACTCAGGAATGGTGAAATGATATGCTGTCAAGCGCACAGGCTTCAGTAAACTGAATATTTGGCCTCCAGGGTCGTTTAGGATATTTATTGAGTTGCTTAAACGTGTTTCTTTTGATGGGGCTTTTGTGCGTCGCCAGCTTGTTTAGACAAGCGAGTTGGTCAACTCAGAGGTTGTTCTGTGTTTAGGACTTATAAGGTTTAGGGGTTAGGGTTTTGGGTTTCGGGTTTAGGGTTTAGGGTTTAGGGTTTCGGTGCTTGGCATGGAGTCGGCAGGTACTGGCAGCTTGCCCTGGGCTTAGAGGGCCTTCGCCTCTTGAAGTTGGAGCCAGAAAAAACCCTAAGAGTTGCCCGGAACTCCGGGGCGTAGCACTGGCGACAAGGTTCAGGGCTTAGAGTTGAAGTAGAGTACCGGGGAGTGACCGAGAGCCAAAAAGGGTTTAACTCGGGGTTTATAGGGCTTGTTCGCCGGCGCCTGAAGGGACTCATGTCGTTAGGCTCCAGCCGCTTCGAACTGACAAGTGGGATTGGGCCATTCTGCGTCAGAACCCAACCTATACCGCACAGCTTTAGTATGGTGTTTACTCGGAGCTTCTTCGGCTAGGACCCGCCCTACACCCTAAGCTGATGCCCTTAAGCCCCCGGTATATTCGTCGCTTGGACACACGTGGTAAGGCAGGTTCAAGCCCTCCTCTCAGGGCGCCCTAAAACCCTAAAACCCCAAACCCTATACCCTAAAACCTTAAAACCCTAAACCCCAAACCCTAAACCCTAAACCCTAGGCCCTAAAACCATAAACCCTATAAGCCCTAAATCGGCGCCATGAGCTCCTCGGGGGAGTCGGATGAAGAGAGGGCGCTGGTGGCAGACACCGGGCCCTTGCAACGTCTGGGCTGCGGCCTGGTTGCTGCAGGGTTTAGGGTTTAGGGTTTAGGGTTTAGGGTTTAGGGTTTAGGGTTTAGGGTTTAGGGTTTAGGGTTTAGGGTTCCAGCTTTAGTTGTGGGATCGTCCACTTCCCCTCCACCCGATACCTAGCCAGGGGTTTTAGGGTTTAGGGATCCTATACCACCCTAACCACCCTCTACCCCAAACAAGGCATGCCACTATTGAGGGTTTGGAGTTTAGGGTTTAGGGCAGGGGGTAGATATGTTGTGTCCTCCACTGCAAATATTCTATTGCCTAGGTTTGCGGGATCTTCTGGACATTGACTGCGATTTCTTGTGCACACACTCAACGTTGTTAAATTGGGGGGAACGACAGAACAGAGTCTATATCCCCCTTGGGAATTCGTTTGTTTTATTTTGTTTAAATACAACCCAAAAGGGCAATTAACATATTTTTTATAAGGGTTCTAAGGGGAGTATAGGATTTTCAGACCATTGAAGTATGTATTCCTTGGGAGTTGCAGCATTCTGATATAGATCATCTGCGTGTTTCTCACTTCGTTTTCTCGCCACCAGGAGACACACCGGCAGACACACGGACATAAGCACATGGTCTTGTGGCGACAGAGAGCTGAACAAGTCTGTGAACTTTCCAATCATGGGAAAACACCTTCTGTTAAGTGAGTGTGTGAATGTGGCAGCCGGCAGAGAGTAAATGAATGAATTTGCGGACCTGCGGAACGAATCCACAACATTGACAAGACTAGGAATTTTGAAATCCTTTGCCGCCAAAGCTCCTGTAAATCCCCCTGTGTTTTCTAAGCCTTTGGGCCTAAACCCTAAACCCTAAACCCTAAACCCTTGCAGGATGCTTCTGTAAAACCTACCAAAAAAAGTAGGGTTTGGGGCTCTTTCAGTCAAGCCGACGCCTTGCAGAACTAGGACATGCCCAGTAGTACCCATAATATCTCTTTTTGGCGGGTTTAGGGTTTAGGGTTTAGGGTTTAGGGCTTAGGGCTTAGGGCTTCGGGTTTAGGGCTCATGGGCAAGCTAGACAGCAACAAGGCGACTGTTGCTTCTGCGCTTTGGTATTCATGGAGTACGTCGCGCTGCAGTACAGCATCGCTTTTGCCATGAACCTTGGGGAACCAAATGAGCCCTAAAAGGGTTTAGGGTTTAAGGTTTAGGGTTTAGGGTTTAGGGTTAGGGTTTAGGGTTCATATACCTTAGTCGGAATTGTAGTAGAATGGGGTGTATGACCCGAATTTTTAGGGTTGATTTGGTCCTCAAGGAACCCACTCATGGAAGACTCCTACATGGCTGTGCTTTTCTACATCATGTACTTTGTGCTGCAGTTTCTGATTCATCTGACTCCGTTTTGTGATCCCGGAAAGGTGCGCAGAATGCTCGAGTCACTGCAGAATGAAGCCCTGACATATGAAAAGGCCCAGCAACTCTTGGATTCTTTGCGCTCTTCCGAGCCATCATTGCAGATCAGTGCGAAGTGTGAGGACACTGATCCTGAAGTTGGCTCGGTGTATCATGAAACGTCCAGAGCCTTCGTCTTCGAAGCCTGGCGAGATACATCAGCTGCTGTGTCTGTTCGGGCTCTGAGAGATTATCCGGTCGCTGGCGTGAAAGTCAGCGTTGAGTGTAAGTACGTGGACGCAGCGACCAGAGACAAGGCAAAGGAGGTGGCACACCAATTGCTGGCAGAATGCCAGGCTGTCCAGGAGGCCAAGTATCCGTCACGTGAAGCCCGCTTTCATGCCTGGTACAAGGCTACTTTGACTCTTGGTAGCCGAGTGGTACCCTTTGCCCGTTTTGGACTTCAGAGGTTGCCTCACAAACAATAGCCGGCCACCCACAAAAAAGAGTGTCATAGGGATTGGAATAATTTCTAATAGTATTCTCTTAGGGTTCTTTATAGCAAGAATAACAATAATTCGTATTATAATGATTATTATTATGACTTCCAAAACCCTATTCTGATTATTGAGGCCTCTATAGTACCCCCTTATCAGAATGTGGTTCCTGAAAGCTACGTCAGGATCACGGACCAGACCGTGGCTCCGGTGAAAGGGGACGAGGTCTTCGTGGTCCTTCATCCCGACTACGGGTCCCCGTGCCTTGGGGACGAAAAATGAAACCTAAAGAGGGTTTAGGGTTTAGGGTTTAGGATTTAGGGGGGTTTTATGGGGCTTCATATACCTTAATAGGGATGGAGTATAGTATAGTATACTCAGCTAAATGAAACCTAAAAGGGTTTAGGGCTTCATATACCTGAATATGGGGATTATAGTATAGTCAGGGTATGTGACCCCAAGTTTAGTGTTCATTTGGTCCTTAAGGTGCTGGCTGTCGCCGCGATTTTACAAGATGGTGTCCTTTCCAATCCCGTTTGTGGGCGCGCTGTACAGGATCTTTGTCATGTGCCGCATTCCGCTCTTCAGGTACAACGTCGTGAAGCAGATATCGGTGCTTCCGAAAGCTGGGAATGAGTGGAAGCGCCCGTTGTTAAATTTGCCGGGCGGCGCCTTGAAAGAACCCACGCTGTGCGACTGGTACGTTTCTATCCGTGAGGGCTGGGGCACGGTTTAGGGTTTAGGGTTTAGGGTTTAGGGTTTAGGGTTTCAGTGCAGCTTCGAATGCGCTTTCAAGACACTAGGAAGGTACGAAAATCTGACTGGGCAATTCGCGCGAGAGAGGGGAATCCTTGGGAAAAAATGAACCCTAAAGGCTATGCTATAGGGTTCAGAGTTTGACCTACATCCTGCGCCTGAAGGCGCAGGATTTCGGAAATGACATGGCCTGCTGAAATCTGGTAGGCTGCCTCGTTGCTTGCAAAAAGGGCGCAGTGCAACCTCAGCAACCCTAAACCCTAATAGGGTTCATGTAACCTTTTTGGCCCTAGAGTCGAACCCTAAATCCAAATCTCCAGGGGGAGGAGAGTGAAAAAAAACATCCTAACTTTGACAAGTTCGACTCTTTGGTTGATTCAGTATAGGGTTCCTAAGGGTTTAGGGTTTAGGATTTAGGGTTTAGGGTTTAGGGTTTAGGGTTTAGGGTTTATGTCTTGAGCTTAGGTCGGTTCAAGGGGGTGTCTGGAACCCAAGGTTCCCTAACCCTCCCCACTTGCGAAGCTTCCCTAACATTCCCTGGGTACCTACCCCCATGGAGCCACCCCCCTGTAAGAAACCCTAAACCCTAAACAGGCCCTAAACCCTTAACCCTAAACCCTTTAAGAACCTATCAATTGTTCAACTCTTTTTACAACCGAGGCCATAGGCCTCAACAACCCCTAGTTAGCCCTACTCGTACCTTGACCCTTGGGGACCAAGTCAACCCCCAGAAAGGTTTATGGTACATATACCTGAATAGGGATTACACCCTAAACCCTAAACCCTAAACCCTAAACCCCTGAATAGGGATCCTAGCCTACTTTCCTTGCGAAGCAAGACCCTTGGGGATGGCGCGGCAGAGAGAGAGAGAGAGAGAGAGAGAGAGAGTAGTAGAGGGTCTATGACCCCAACTTAGGGTTCATTTGGTCCCCAAGGAAGAGCCCAAACTTCTTTGTAGGCTACCTAAGAATCCTATACGGGGGGCATTTATCATGAAAGCCTACAAGAACGTAGTTTCTGGGTTCTTAAGGAAATACCCCTAAACCCTCAACCCCCAACCCTAAACCCTAAACCCTAAACCCTTAGTGTTTAGAGGGGCCCCCAAATCTCCAGACCAAGCCGTTCTCAGGGTTGAGGGTTTGGGAGGGGTAGGGTTTAAGGTTTAGGGTTTAGGGTTTAGGGTTTAGGGTTTAGGGTTTAGGGTTCAGCATCTCAAGTTCGAGCATTTACTAGGCCAGCAGTGTGTGTAGGCAAGGGAAAAAACCTACCGCCCATAACATTGCGAAAATAGAAAGTTTACTCCAATTCGTGCTGAACAATGTGGGGGCTAGAGGGGTAAGAGGGGTCGAAATGGATCAAATTCTCCAACTCGTGCCGAACAATGGGGGGTCAAAGGCATGCCGAACAATGGGGGGTCAAAGGGGTCGAAATTGATGTATGTAAACAAGAAACCCTTTCAGGGTTCATTTGGTGCCCAAGAGGGTGACCCCAAACCCTAAACCCTAAACCCTAAACCCAAAAACCCCAGGCCTTGTGCCTCCTCCAGCGCACGGCGTCTCGTGGCCTCCGCGCCAGCACGGAACTCCTGGGCGCTTGCGCCAGGGTGCCCGGTTAGGACCTTCTTGGTTGTAGGGGTCAGATTTCGGCCTCGTGTTACGACACCAAACCCCTCATAAGCTTCTTGTACAACCTGCAAAAATGTAGTTTCTGCGCCCCCCCCCCGCTCCAGCCCCAAAACACAAACATATAAATAAATTACAAACACATACATATATATATATATACACATATGTATACACATATATATACATATATATATATGTATGTATATATATATATATATATGTTAAAACAAGCAAACAAACAAAAATGAACTCCAAAGGCAGAAGCTGGCCCTACACCCTAGACCCTATAAGCCCCAAAACTTGGTATGTTCCCCCTTAGACTAACAGTCCTCAATAGGGATTAGAACAGGGGGTACTATAATGCCTATGAAGGACTGTTAGTACAAGCGGGAACATCAACCCTAAACCCCAAACCCCAAACCCCAAACCCCAAACCCCAAACCCCAAACCCCAAACCCCAAACCCCAAACCCTAAACCCTAAACCCTAAACCCTAAACCCTAAACCCTAAACCCTAAACCCTAAACCCTAAACCCTAAACCACATCCCAACCCCAGACCTTTGCAGCCAAGTAGTAGCCCAGGTTTCGGCTTGCGAGGGTGCGATGCAGTGGCCGTGGGCGCAGGCCCCAAAGGAATGTTGGCGAGGCTCCGATGTCTAAGGTTTAGGGTTTAGGGTTGAGGGTTGAGGGTTGAGGGTTTAGGGTTTAGGGGGTGAGGGGAGGAAGTTAGGGGTCTAGGCCCGCCCCTGGCCCCCCCACTCCCACCCAAGTACAGTCCCCCACCTACGGCCCTGCAAAGACTTTGCTTGGGTTGTTTTTGTGTTTTCGGACCTTGAGCTCAACACCCTAAACCCTTTTGCGCTGCAGGTTTGGAGTACCGTGGGTATCGATTTCCAGACTCAGCTCTGCGTTGGCGGGTCTTACATCCACCCCCAACCCTATACCTGAGACCAAAAAACCCCTAACCCAAGCCCTACTTGGGTCGCCAGTGGTACCCCCTGTCCCTTTTTCGGGTTCTAGGTTCCCGTATAAAGTATCCAAACCATAAAAGGATGCCCTGCGAATATGGTTACTGAGCTACCAAGCCTATAGCCCCCCCACCTCCCGAAATCTCCCTAAACCCCAAACCCTAAACCCTAAACACTAAACCCTAAACCTCAAACCATAAACCCTAAACCCTAAACCCTAAACCCTAAACCCTAAACCCTAAACCCTAAACCCTAAACCCTAAACCCTAAACCCTAAACCCTAAACCCTAACCCTAAACCCTAAACCCTAAACTCTGCAAGCCCCTATGTGCCACGCTACCGAGTTAGGTTCGAGTGTAGAAACGCAGGCTCCTTTGCCTGCCGGCCCTTTTACTACTGTAGGTTAAGAGGGTTTAGGATTCGGGGTTTAGGGTTTAGGGGTTAGGGACCTAAACCCTACACCCTCAATAATTACCCTAAACCCTCAATACCCTAAGCCCTCAATACCCTAAGCCCTCAATACCCTAAACCCTCAATACCCTAAGCCCTAAACCCTACCCTAGGCTGTGAGACTGCTCCGCCACCACCGAGCAGCGCGAACAGAGCAAGGGCGCCAATTTGATGCCCTGAGTTGCAGTGCTTGTGGGAAGGGTTTAGGGTTTAGGGTTAAGCGCTAAGGGTTTAGGGTTTCGGGTTTCGGGTTTAGGGTTACTTGTTGGTTTGAGAGTATCTTATAAAAAGGGACCAACCTGACAAGAGAGTTTGGAATCCGCTGTTTGGAGTCAAAAGGGTTTGCGGAAGGTTTAGGGTTTAGGGTTTAGGAGGGTCAAACCGGGCGGGAGCACAGCCAAGCTCGTTGCAAAAGAGTTTAGGGTTCGGGCTTCGGTTGTGTTACTTCAATTCAAGGCTCAGCGTTTCTTGCACCTGCAAGAAGCCTAATTACCACCTCTGAAAAAGGTTGAGACCCTAAACCCTAAACCCTAAACCCTAAACCCTAAACCCTAAACCCCGAGGGCTATTCGTGGGTATGCCACATAATCCTTAAACATAGCATCGGCCATGCGAAGACAGGGGGTACCAGCATGGGCGATTAGGCCTCTTAACAACCCCACAAAGGGCCTTTTTTAAGGGGTTATAGGGTACAATAGCCCAACCTTATTAATCCCCTAACCAACCCTATAAAGGGCCTTTTTTAAAGGGGTTATCGGGGTATAATAGCCGACCCTAAACCCTAAACCCTACAAAGGGCCTTCTCAAGGGGTTAGAGGGTATGATAGCCCATGCAGGTAGGTGCTTTAGGGCATCCCCGGCTGCGGCTTGCGCATGAAGCGGCTTTCGCATGCTCGCCCGTCCTTTTCTCAGTGCTGCAGCGCGGCAAGCCCTAGCCTCACAAGCCCTAGCCTCACGCCATTAATTCCCCCAAACCCGAACACCAGAAAAAGCCGATAATGCTTATTCTCAAAACCCCAAACCCAAAGCTCTGAGTGCTGAGGATGTGGGATTAAGGGCTGCTTGCATAGCGTTGAGGTTCGGATGTTGCTTAGAGGGCTTGCGCCAAAGCTGCATTCTCCTCCAACCAGCGAACCCTTCCCAAGCCCACCCACTTCCACTGAAAACTAAGCCCTAAACCCTTGAACCCTGAACCCTGAACCCTAAACCCTAAACCCTACACCCCACAGTCCCGACTGTGTAGATCGCTTTTCCCAGCATGGCTCCTGGGCCGGGCTGAGCTGGGCCATGCGTGCAGGTGACGAAACGGACAGTTCTTCGGGTTTAGGGTTTAGGGTTAGGGTTTAGGGTTTAGGGCTTGTGAACCCCTTGTATCCGAAAATCCCAGGGCGCAGTCAGAAGCCAGCCCGTGATTCACGAAGAATGTGTGTGTGAACCCTACCAAACCCTAAACCCTAAGCCCTCAACCCTAAACCCTAAACCCTAAACCCTAAACCCTAAACCCTAAACCCTAAACCCTAAACCCTAAACCCTAAACCCTAAACCCTAAGCCCTGCCATCATTCTCTGGCTCAAGCCGCTATTGGCTCGCAATTTTGTCCTAATTGGAGTAAGACTCTTAGTAGCTGAGTGAGCACACTTTGCACTTTTTGGGAACCCTAAATAACCCTAAACCCTAAACCCTAAAATCCCCTCAAGAACTGAAAGTGTACACTTTTTTGGGGGGGCTTATGACCTCAGCAACTAAGGACTGGAGAGAAAGCACCCCTACTGCCTGCAAAAATGGCCGCCGTGATCTCGGAGCTGAACCACGGCTACGTCCAGGAGAACCCGAACCTTGGGGACGAAAGGAGCCCCAAAATTGGGGCTCATATACCCTGACAACTTGTCTTCCTATTAAGGTAATATGAACCCTATTCCCCCTAAACCCTAAGCCCTAAACCCTAAGCCCTCTTAGGGTTTCATTTCGTCACCAAGGACGTGTGCCGCGGACGTGGACTCGGAAAGCACAGGGGCGAGCTCCCAAGAGGAGACGGTGAAAGGAAGCTCGATTTGTTTACTGGGTTTAGGGTGTTTAGGGTTTTTAGGGTTTAGGGGTTGGTGACAAGGGAATGAGGGAATGAGGTACCCTATATTCTCCCTGACAGGGTATATACAGGGGGATATAGGGTGCTTCATTCCCTCATTCCCTACTAACCAACAGTAGGTTTTGGCCCACTTGGGAGATTTCATATTCGCCCTTATTTGGGTTGAAGAGGATCAGCTTTGGGTAGTTCCCAAAATCGGGGGTTCCCCTTTTATTCCCCACATCGAATAGAATCCCTTAGAAGGGACCCCCAAAAGGGTAGCCCTAACCTGCAAACCCTAAACCCTAAACCCTAAACCCTAAACCCTAAACCCTAAACCCTAAACCCTAAACCCTAAACCGATTTTTCAGATAGTTTTTCTGGCCCATCCGAGGAAAGCTCGTGGACATCCCCAAGAAGGCTGGGATGCGAAACATCCAGCTCCTCATGGACGAGGACATGCTCAACCGCTACCAAGCCAAGAAGGAGTTTAGGGTTTAGGGTTTAGGGTTTAGGGTTCAGGGTTTAGGGTTTAGGGTTTGGGGTTTAGGGTTTAGGGCTTAGGGTTAAGCCAAGAAGGAGGCGTGCAACTTCCTCCTCAAGTGCCTCGGCCGGCCCAGTTGAAAGAACTGTTCCATACTTTCCCTTCCTGGGGTGTTCAGAGACTCATGCTGATAGGAATATGTGTTGCCTAAACCCTAAACCCTTCAGCCTACACCCTAAACCCTAAACCCTCAACCCTCAACCCTTAACCCAAACCCTAAACCCTAAACCGTAAACCCTAAACCCTAAATCCTAAACCTCCCAGGTGTGAGACGTGGTTCGCCAACTACCTTGGAATGAAGTACGCCCTGTCGCTGAACAGCGGGGGCATTGCCATCAGCCTCGGTCTTGAAGCCATGAGCCTTGAAGGGTTTAGGGTTTCAGGTTTAGGGTTTGGGGTTTGGAGCCCGAAACATTGGGGACAGAATACCCCTGTAGGGTTTAGGGCTTGGGTTTAGGGTTTCAGGTTTAGGATTTGGGGTTTATCATAGGGTTTAGGCTTATAGGGGTTTATGGAACCCGAAACATTGGGGACAGAATGCCCGTCGAGGGTTTGCCTGAGACCCTCCTTGCCCACAGATAAATGGATTGCAACGCAGCTCCTAATCAAGGGTACTTACTACTAAACTGTAGGGAAAAAGAGTTTCAGGTAGGGTTTAGGGTTTAGGGTTTAGGGTTTAGGGTTTAGGGTTTGGGGTTTAGGGTTTAGGGTTGAGGGTATGTTGACGCATGGGAGTCTGGCTTGCCTTCAGTCCCGTGGCAAAAGGTCGTACCCTAGACTACTATGATCCCCACTAAGGCAGGGTTTGTGGTTCATATACTTTAGTAATTATAAGGTATGCGAACCACAAGCCCTTTCACGGTCCATTTGGTCCCCAAGGAAGCGTGTTCTTTTTCCAGATGACACGGTCGATCAGATTCGCGTGTACTCCAACGCCTTCACTTTCAACGCTGTGCCCTCCGCCTGTATGGTGGCAGGCTTCCGCAATACCTTGAAGCTGATCCTTGGGAACGAAATGAACCCTAAGATTGAGGTCATATACCCAAATACTACCATAATTCCTACTTTGGTCTATGAACCATGAACCCTTTTAGGGTTCCGTTTGGGCTCCCAGGATTGAGGCGACACCGGAGCTGGTGATCGACTTGGATCACCTTGAGGCCTGCATCAAGGACGACTTAGAGTCCGGCAAATTCGCGCCGGGAAAGATGATCCTGGTCCTCTCGTACCTTGGGGACTACATAAACCTTAAAAGGGTTTATGGTTCATAGTACCTTAAAACAGGAATTAAATTATAGTAGTACAGGGAATATGACCCAATTTTCGGGCTCATTTGGTCCTCAAGGTATATGCGGGGCCGCGTTCCTGACATGCACCGCGTTTTGGACATCTGCGAGAAGTACCAGGTACAGCTCCTGGAGGACTCTGCCCACGGCTATGGCTGCTCTTTTGATGGGCGCAAGTGCGGCTCCTTTGGCGTTGTCAGCACAATCTCGTCCCAGGCCAACAAGCTCGTCAATACCGGCGAGGGGGGCATGGTGTTTCTCACCGGCAGACTAAGTAGGTAACCTTTACTCTTTTTTTTGCGTCATTTCAATCCCTGAATAGAATCCCAAACAAAGGTTAACCTTTAAATCCCCCAGGATACTAGACAACTACTTGGAGGTGCATGGGTACAAATAACCCCAACTATACTTTTAAGTACAGTTGTATTTGGGGCTGAACCTGTAACCTTGCTAGCCTAGTGGTACCCTTCTGCCTTTCTTTTTGGCCCTGGGTTCCCTTACAAAGTAACCAACCCCTAGAAGGGTGCCCTTATTGTAATATGTTTCCTGACCTGCCAAGGGGTGTTGTGGTAACCCGAAACCCCCTAAATCCTATGAACCCTAGATGGACGCCTTCTGAACCGGAAAGCTTACAAAGGACAACTACTCGCAGGTTTATTGCCCAAGCTATCAGTCTAGGTCCAGGTCTACTTAAACGGCCTTAGGGGGGCTTATAAGTATAGTTCTACTTGGAGTCCTGAAGCTGTAAGGTTAAACCCTAAACCCTAAACCCTAAACCTTAAACCCTAAACCCCCAATCCCTAGATGGCCGTCCTTAATCGGGTCCTGAACCCGCAAGGTTTACAAACAACGACGAGATCCAAGCTTTCTTCATCTTCTCCGCGGGAAGCTATGAGGAGCTCTGGAAGAAGCATGAGGCCGTTTGAGGGTTTAGGGTTTAGGGTTTAGGATTAGGGTTTAGGGTTTAGGGTGTAGGGTTTGGATGAGGGTTTAGGGTTTAGGGTTTAGGGTTTAGGATTAGGGTTTAGGGGTTAGGGTTTAGGGTTTAGGGTTTAGGGTTTAGGATTAGGGTTTAGGGTTTCGAAGCTTGAGGCCCTCGCGCCGCCCGAGGACGTCTGCCTTCGATACAAGTACCCTGGGGGGGATCATCGGAACCCTAAAAGTGGGGTTTAGGGTTTAGGGTTTAGGGTTTAGGGTTTGGGGTTTAGGGTTTAGGGTTTAGGGTTTGGGGTTTGGGGTTTGGGGTTTGGGGTTTGGGGTTTGGGGTTTGGGGTTTGGGGTTTGGGGTTTAGGTTTAGGGTTTAGGGTTTCGGGTTTCGGGTTTCGGGTTCTTATACCGTATATTGGTTGGTGGTCCCATTAGCACGACACAAGACTGTTCAACGAAGCAATGGGCATCAACTCAGCCTTGACTAACACGCATGTCTATCAATAAGTAGGTTTTCTGTTTTATGGGGCATATGTTCGGGGTTCTTATGAGGGTATCTTTCGGGGCTATATGTAAAAAAAGTAACAGATAAAGAGGACACCGGCCTTTATATACCCTAAACCACGACAATTCCTGTTCTAGGTGTGTGCGTGTATATATATATATGTATGTTTTTGACCCTAAGATTGGGTGTCTTATGCCCTCTACTACTCTCACATCCCTGTTCAGGTATACATGCACCATAAACCCTTCAAAGGGTTCACGTGGTCCCCAAGGTACACCACTGTGAACAAGTCCGTCCGCATGACCAACATTCAGGGGGCCCTTATGCATCCCCAGCTGGCGGTGATGAATGAGCGCATCGACCAGCACAACGAGATGTACCCTTGACCCTCAAGAACCTGCAGCTTTTTTATGGGTTACACTTATATGAGTTAAGGGTAGTTCCTATGGTTTATACCTATGGAATTCAGGGTAGTTACGATGAAACTGTAGGTATAAACAGAGTCCCAGGTACTACTATCTCGTGAGGACGACCTCCGAGAAGCTGGAGGAGGTCTGCGGTAAAGAGGCCAGCAAGCGAATCGAGTTCCTTGGGGCCCTCTTTACCCATAGTCTTAGAATAAGGGGTTATTTTCTACGAATTAAGGGTAGCTAGGGTTATACCTACTAATTCAAAGTAGTTAGGGTTATGCCTACTAGTTCAGGGTGGTTCGGGTTCCACCCTACTACTTAAGGTTAGTTAGGGCTTTTTCCCCACTCTTTAAGGGTAGCTCCTACCAAACTGCCAGCACAACAAAAATCTACTACTTAGGGGTAGTCTTAAGGGTAGTTAGGGTTATACCTACTAACCAAGGGTAGCTCCTACCAAACTGTAAGTAAAAAAAAAAAAACCGAGGTTCATCCCACAGTCTCATAGCCTCGTCGGCCCCGTCTACGACTCGCTGCAGATCCGCATCCTGGGCGAAGACGGCCGGCCCTGCACCTTAGGGGCTGGGCAGTTTATTTGTCTAACCTTTTTGGTTATATATATGTATATATAGTCTAACCTTTTTGGTTATATATATATGTATATATATACACATTGCCCTATGCAAACAAGAAGGTTAACCTTTAAGCATTTTGGTTATATATATCCAGCCCCCAAGGCACGGAAGAGCTTCCAGGCCTGGCTGTCTTCCTCAAAGAGCTCCAGGGGCGCAAGCACTCCATCGCCAAGTTCTCCGACCCCGCCAACGCGCGAAACTTCATGTCCTGGCAGTATATGAAGCTTGGTGGCCCACAGCAACCAACCCGGAAAGGCTACCCTTCTTATCCTAGAGTTTGGCCCTAAACCCTAAGCCCTAAGCCCTAAATCCTCAACCCTAAACCCTAAACCCTAAACCCTAAACCCTAAACCCTAAACCCTAAACCCTAAACCCTAAACCCTAAACCCTAAACCCTAAGCCAAGGAAGGCAGAGGCCATCCATCCGGATGTGCTGCCGCAGACGAGGCGGGTGCTCACCAACGTCTGCGACCTTCGGTTGCTGTGTCATGACACCGAGCAGGACATCCTTGGGGTCCGAATCTACTGTTTGCTAGTTTAGGGTTTAGGGTTTAGGGTTTAGGGTTTAGGGTTATTCTTCCTTATCAGGGCAAACAAAGGATTATTTGGAATTATAGTAGTATAGGTATAGGATCCTTTGGGGACCTAATGACCCAATAAAAAGGGTTTATGCATAATGAGCCCTAAAAGGCTTTATGGCTTCATGTTGATAACCTCAATCGAAATTACAAGAGTATAGGTAACCCTAAACCCCAAACCCCAAACCCTAAACCCATATGACAGCAGGAGATGACGAAGATGGCCACCGACTTGGCTGAATGCTTCAAGCTCAGCTTCGTTTAAACTGCGCGGCGCCAGGCGCCCAGCGGTGAGGCTCTTGCTCTTCGGCGGGAGGGCCGCACTTCGTTTTGGTTAAGTGGGTAAGTAGCCTTCAGCCCTAAACCCTAAACCCTAAACCCTAAACGCTGTAGGTTTTCAGGTTTAAACACCCTCGCCGAAGACAGCCTGCCATGAGGGAATTTTCTGCGCACTTGGCGTAGATGACTTCCATAATACTCAAACCTTGTGAGAAAGCCCGACGCCTCAACTTGGTCTCGGCTTAGTTGGCTTGTCGCCTGGGCATCTGCGGGTGCCTGACCTGCCAGAGAGCATAAGAGAGAGGCACGTGCAATGGGAGACTCGACACCTAAACCCTTCACCCCGTGCCATTGGCAGAAAAGGTGCCCGCAAGTGGAATCGTATAGCCACTAGTGGGCTGACAAGCTTGCCAGCAATACCCCGTCGCGGAGTACGAATCCCCGGACTGTCCCATGCAAAGTGCTGCTCCTGTCGAATCCCCAGGATCTAGAGCCCTAAACCCTCAACCCTCAACCCTAAACCCTAAACCTTAAACCCTAAACCCTAAGCCCTGAGCCCTGAAACTTTGAGCGAGCTGGACTCCCCGACGTTCTTTGTCTTTGCCCACGAGGGGCTTTTGTGATCCAACACGCCAGGGTCCATGTACCCTAAACCCTAAACCCTAAACCCTAAACCCTAAACCCTAAACCCTAAACCCTAAACCCCCCCAAAAAACACGAGGTTAGCTAACAGGAGCGTAGCCCGAAGCCCTGGACCCTCTGGCTTCGGGACGTGGACCCTGGCTTGTTTTTTTTCTGCATGCTCGGAGCAATCGTCTGATCTGTGTGGGGCAATTCCGCCGCTTTTCTGCTCAAGATCCTTTTCGGGCGGTCAGTTCCTGGGCCACCTCCGCACAGAAGCTAGGGTTTAGGGTTTAGGGTTTAATTTAGGGTTTAGGGTTTAGGGTTTAGGGCTCCTCCTTGAGAATTTTGGGATTTGGTGGTTGGGGTGTAGGGGGCTCTGCTGGTATTAGCCGGTCTGCCTGTCAACGCTCTTGAGCCTGCATCTTTAGATGGATGCATTGTTCCAGCATGTCTCCCGCGAGGGGGCAGCCGTCGGATAGTAGAAACTACCCTTCTTCGTAGCTGAGTGAGCACACTCTACACTTCTTGGGAGACGAGAATCCCCCATAGAACTGAAAGTGTGCGCTTTTTTTTTTTTGGGGGGGGGGGGCCATGAACTCAGCAACGAAGCTACCCTCAATTCGTAGGCAGAACCCAGAAAACTGAAGGGAAAAGAGTTTCGCAGGAAAACCCTCAACTCCTGGCGCCGGTCTGGCTTCCTTTTTTTTTGGTTGGCTTTAGGGTTCAGGATTGAGGGTTCACCTTCAGAACCCTTAAAAGCCCCAGACTTTGTGCGTTACCCCAAACGTCCTCTAAGGGTGTTTTTGTAAGACGAGCCCGCAAGCAAGTAAGGCTCTTAAGGTAGGGTTCACTCCACTTTCAAGTGTTTCGCTGATCTTGAAAGCGGCTGCCATCGCCGGGGAGCAATCCAAATCACTGCATGGCTTAGCTGCCGAAACGAGGCGTTGTTGAAGTAGGGTAGATAGGGGAATGAGGGTAATTCGGGTATCTAGAGTACTTGGTATCTGGGGTAACCAGCATAACCCTAACCCTAAACCCTAAGCCCCCTACTTACACCCCAAGCTCTTTTCGGTACCTTGGCCTCGGGTCATCTCTTGACGAAACACGCCTTTGTGGTCGTGACTCTGCTTGCACTCTCGGAGACTCTGAATCACGGCTTTAAGGAGATTTATGTTTTTGGGTTTAGGGTTCGGGTTTCGAGTTTACGCCTAAGCACATGGGTGTTAGGTGCTGGCGCGTCACTCCCAGTGCGCATCACGTGCCGCAGAGGCATTTTTTGATATGCTCCGCACGCTGCACGCCGGGTTCAGAGAATGGGCTTAGGGTTTGGGATTTAGGGCTACGGCTTGAGGTTCTGAAGCGAATTCAAATGCCAAGCCCAAACTCGAACCCGGGCACGCGTGTGTGCAGACATCCCGGGGAATCCAAGGGGTCCACGGCGCACGTTCTGGATCGCTCTTATAAGCATCCAGAGAGCTTATTTATCCCCCTTAACTCATGGGTTCCCCTAGTACCTCCTCTAATCTAGCCCCCCCCCCTCTAGTTCCCTCCATAGTTGAGGCTATTTAGGGATAACTAAGCCGAGTTGAGGCTATCGAAGGGGGGCAACGAAGCTGCGCGAAATTTCTCTGTAGCAGCTGATCCCGGGTATGAAGAGCCCTGCAACACAGGACTAGTGGAGAGCCTGAAGCTACTGGTGCACAAGGGGGAACGAGTTTAGGGTTTAGGGTTTAGGGTTTAGGGTTTAGGGTTTAGGGTGGGAGTGTCGCAGAAGGTCACAAGCTCTATAGGGGTATGTGCAGGTGGCTATGGGGATTCATTGCACCACGCCCTAAGACCCGGTTAGATAAGTGCCCTGCCCTCGGACACCCCTTTTCAATAGTCTTAGCTCCTACGCTATAGCAGGTCCTGAGCAACCGCCGCGCACATCATGCAACTCGTTGTCAGATTTCTTGCGCAACTTTTGCCAGGACCTGGACTTTCGGTCACTCCCCGTTTGAGAGGGAGCACACAACCATGCTCCACAATCTTTTTCCAGGATGCCCAGTAGTAAACCCTTCTTATACCCCCTTGTACTCCCTTCCTTGGGCACCAAATGAGCCCCAAAATTAGGGTCACATACCCTATACTATTCCCTTAACCCTAAACCCTAAACCCTAAACCCTAAACCCTTATTAAGGGTACATGAACCATAAGCCCCTTTCGCGTTCATCTGGCCCGCAAGGTTGAAGACCCAATGAAAGGGGCGCAGCCTTGTTTATTTATTCTGAGGATTTACCAGGCAAACCCTAAATCCTAAACCCTAAACCCCTTTATTTCGAGGTTTACTGGGCAACCCAGGTTTTCGAATACCCCGTTGCACGCTAGAATCTCCAGTCTTTCGCCAGCAAAACAAAGAGAAGCGAAGTTAGGGTTTAGGGTTTAGGGTTTAGGGTTTAGGGTTCAGGGTTCAGGGTGTAGGATTTATAAATTCAGGCATTAGAAGTTTCGGGTTTGGCGTTCAGGGGCCAGGGCTTAGGGTCTAGGGTTCAGGGTTTTGGGGCTTACGGAGATGGAATCTGCTGGCACGGCGCAGCTAACAGGTTCGGATTTATTTGTGTCCTCCGAAGTGGTCCCAGTGGTCCCCAATGCCTTCGCGCACGTGTTGGGCCAGTGGCAAAACAGAACCTAAAACCCCCCTAAACCCTAAACTCTAAACCCTAAACCCTGAACCCTGTAAACCCTGTAAACCCGAAACCCTAATAACCCCAAACCCTAATAGCCCTAAGCCCCAAACCCAAGTGCTTTCTACAATGCCAAAACTCTCCCCATCCTATCGAAGCACATGTTCGCCCTTGCGGCTCGCCCCCAGCCTGCCGCTTTTAGTGAGAGGGTTTAGGGTTTAGGGTTTAGGGTTTAGGGTTTATAGAGTTTAGGCTTCCCGAAATGAAAAACGGGGTGCCTCGGCCGTCGGCAGGTCTGCCTTTGCCACCACCGCCTCCTCCGCTGACGCCGTCCTTCGTCCCACAGGTTGCAGGACGTCTAAGAGTTTAGGGTTTAGGGTTTAGGGTTTAGGGGCGGTAGAAAATTCGAGGTCAGCTTAGAACGGGAAGCTTTTTTCTGTATGCCGGGAGGCTCCCTTCTGAAACCCTGAGCTTCGAACCCTCTAAACCCTAAACCTTGAGAGCTCCGCGCCGCGGCTGCTTGAGGGTTTATCGCCGAGGTTTAGGGTTTAGGGTTTAGGGTTTTAGGGTTTAGGGTTTAGGGTTAAGGGCCTTTCTAGGCTTTGAGCTCGTGTACGGGCTACTTGTAGTCTACGGGGCGAAGAGGCTGTGGGTCCTGTTCTGTAGGGGTTCGACACCCTACACCCTCATCCCCAAACTCGATCCTACAAACCTGGGACACTCTTTACCTGCAGAAAAACGGGTTCTACCTACTAATTAAGGGCAGTTACTACTAAACCACCCTAAACCCTAAACCCTAAACAGAAGCCCTTGCAGCCCAAAGCCAGCTCGCAGGAGCACCGCAGCTTGCGGCGCCTTTGCAGGCCGCCCACTACCATGAGCCGACAACCGAAGAACCTCAACAACCCCGCCAGAGACAAATTTCAGATAGGGTTTAGGGTTTAGGGTTTAGGGTTTAGGGTTTAGGGTTTAGGGTTTAGGGCTTAGGGTTTAGGGTTTAGGGTTTAGGGTTTAGGGTTTAGGGCTTTGAGCTTCAGGGCCTTCGGGGGCTTTGGGGCTGGATGGTGTATAGAACTTCGTCATCTGGAGGGGTCTTTAGGACGGGTTTTCAAAAGCGTTCGGGAAAGGTGCCGGTGACTGGGTTGCGAGCTGCTGTCCGCGTAGCCTTGAGTGTCTAGAGGATGTTGGGGTTCGAGCGAAGTACACTCCCCAAAGCCTAAACCCTGAACCCTAAACCCTAAACCCTCAACCCTCAACCCTCAACCCTCAACCCTCAACCCTAGCCTCCCTGAACCCTAAACCCTAAACCCTCAACCCTCAACCCTCAACCCTCAACCCTACCCTCCCTGAACCCCAAATGTGCAAAGACATCTGTCAGACCTAAGGACCGCCTCGTCTAAGGCCTAGAGAGGCTACCCATGGAGCTGAGCATAATTGAGATTCGGGAGAGTGAGGATCGTTTCCCGAAACAGGGTTTATGGTCCATATACCGAATTTAAAAGGTGGATTTGTGCCTCAATATAAGTATGATAGTATATACTTATGGTATATGACCACAACTTGGGGGATCCATGTGGTCCCCTAACAAACGCCACTCCATCAGCGCGAGGTCGCGCCAGGGGCTGCATATGTGGCAGCGGCAGGACTCTGGGATCAGCCTGCTCGATGGTATGCGGGGGGCGGCCGGTAGTTAGCCCCG